GTTGCCAGCGACTCGCAGCAGTTCACCTTCCCCCTGGATGGCAGGCTGTTGCTTCCACTGGACTTGTGCTGTGCTGCCAGCTCCCCCCTCCAGCCCTGCTCCCGTGGGCTGGCAGGGATCTCCACTCCAGCCGCCAAGGAAATCCTGGAGGGCAAAGCTAAATCCTATTCCAGGGCCCCGCATGCCAGCGGGCACTGTCTGACCCTTCTGCTTCCGTACCAGATATTTTTGAACCAAAGATAAATTTAAAACAACAAACAAAGCGAGAAGGATCAGTGTGAAGTACCAAAAACCTTTATTTTCCCCCAAACCATAACAACATTTGACATTATATTGATTTCCTCATATATTTGTTATTTCTCTACGTTAGGAACCAGATACAGAAAATACAAACACGATCTGTTGAATCAAAGACGGCACAGCATTCCGTTAGAAAAAGAAACAAAAAAACTAGAGGAGCAAGATAAAAATGGTGAAAAATAGTCATTCCCTCCAGCCCAAACTTTCCAAGAATCATCATCAAAATAGAGCAGTGGAAGTAGCTTCTCTTTCTAAACACACTTCTGCTTTAAGAAAAAAAGTTAGATTTATCTTTAGATTTCAAAGTAAAAAAATGTTAAACTATCTTTCAAACAATTTTGGAATTTGCATAGACCCATTCCCTTTCCAAAAATATCAGCGATCTCTCTATAGAATCTGATATAAATCAAGTGCGCGCCTCGTCTGAAGATCACCAAGCTCAATTCACTTTCAAGAAAATAAAACATGATCTCCCCTTCCCCTCCCTCCCCCCACAAAAATATGGGCTCTACCATTATTCCTTGTGTTTGAGGCAAGTTATGAGGCTCAGCCACACCTCTCGCTCAAGAGCTTCATCCAAATTCCTTTTTTATTTCCCAGGTTTCCACGTCCGCTCCCTCCCGACGGGGCAGGGGCAATGCAACGCGGAGCTGCGGAGGGCATCATGCCGGGATGGTGTGGGTGGGCTGACAGACGACGACGCAGCTCTCAGGAGGGAAGCGGGAGGGGGGCGGATTTTGCGCTCATCACACCCCCCCAGCGAGGAAGTGGCTTTTCAAGGACAAACACCTGCGACCAGGCAGTGTTTGTAGGAACTTGTCCCTGGGGACCAGCCTTGTCCACAGGGCTCAGTCACCAGAGCAAGAACTTGTTCAGCTAGAGACTAGGTGGGGTGGCAGGCGACGGGGCAGGAGGGGCGGAAGGTGAGTTCGCAGCTCCCGGGTAAGGCAGCGAGGAGGGGAGCGGGGGGACCCCTCTCCAGGAGGGGTGTTTAACCTAGGTGCTCTAGCGTACCTGGAGTGAGGTTTATCCCAGAGGTTCACAACAGCACGTGCAGAGTCCAGCTGCACAGCTACCAGTTTAAAAAGAAACAGCAATGACAAAAATAAATAAAAAGTCAACCCCTCCTATTAAGATGCAAATGAAATACGTATTTCTTCAGGTCTCGGCCCAGTTTGGAACCCTCTAAAAAACTGAAGCAAACGTTAAAAAGGGCTTATTAGCTTTCTGTGGGGGGCAAAGTGATGTGGCAATGAGGGGGGGGAGAGATCACACGCCTGCTGCCCATCACACCAAGGGTCAGGACAGCACGAAGGCCCCCATTTAAAGTGCCGACCATACAAAAGAAGATGGAGGAGCAACATCCTTCTCCCCCTTTTTCCATCACAACTTCTAAATGAAACCCATCTCCTTCACCAAGTCACAACTAAGCCTATTCTTTTGGACATTCACTCAGTTTATACTGTTTTTTTTTTAAAAAAAAGTTAGTAAAAAAGTTACATTGAATTTCCCAACTCTTTGCAATTGGCTTCCACCAGCTAAAGGTCCAGAGACTGGGAAAGCAGAGCCCTCACGTTTTGTCTGGTCCCTAGACTGGAGCAGAGAGCCAGCTCTGCTCTCCATGGTCAGCCAGGCGTGAGCAGCCCTGCTTGCCAGCATCTGAAACCCAGGGGATGCAGAGTCTTGCCAGTAAGGTCCTTTTACTTGTTTAAGCCACCTCTGAATCCCCTGAGAAGGGGAACAATGTGGGGAAGAACATCCCCCCTCAGCCCCCCAGAAATAAAATATCAATGAAACAATAATGCAGTCAAAAAAAAACCACCAGCCTGCTGGGTTTATAAAAAAAAAAAATCAATAAACTTCATGACAAAAAAAAAAAAGAACAAAACCAAAGGAAACTAGCCAGCGGTTTGGGTCTGGAAACTGATTCACTTAAATGTTCAAGGTCCAACAAGGAACAGATGGCAGTGATGCCACAAGGAAAAAGTGCTCGCGAGACGCAGCTTCCCAAGAGACGGCAGTGAGTCTGCAGGACAAGTGAGCCCACTTCCATCACCACCGCCTCATATGCCCACCACCGGCCAGGGACCGCCGGGCATCGCTCGCGATGGACGCGCAGCAGGAGCTCTGCGTGGGATCTAAAAATAGGAACAGACTGCTCCTTCTGCCCTCCGGGTCTGCTCTGGGTGCTCCAGCCCTGGCTGTGCTGCACCAGGCTGAATGACTAGGGCTGCTTTCTTACTCAAAACGAGGGGTAGGAGAGCTGAAAAGCTACGTAAAGACCAAGATCTGTGGAGTCAATAATAACGTGAAGACGAGGAAGAGATACCCTATGAGATACCGTTATCAAAAACGCAAGCAGTCATGTGCCAAGTCGGCGGAAGAGAAGCCAGAGACATGCCCAGGTTGGCCACAGCTATGCGATGGAGCAGGTTACACCTCTGCCAGCCTGGGAAGATGAGACCAGCTTTCTGAAAAGTTCAACTGCTTCTCCTCTTCCTTCAATGGGAAGAGATTCCTCCCTCTATCCCACTGGGGATTTCGTGACATGCCGAGCTGCCAGCACCTCGGAACAGCCACCTCTTGCCAATGGGAGCCCAGAAGAAAGCCCTGGGTTCCCAACTGCTCTGACAGTGACTGCCGTTGTTTTCCATGGGAACAGAAGCAAAGCAGCAGAAGCGAGCTGGGTTTTGGCCTCTTTCCTGGCTTATGTTTGCTCCTTTCAAGTCCTGGTTGGACCTGATTTCCCAAGGGGTTTTGCTGGCCCCTGGGGAGCAGTCTGACCCTCAACTCCGCACGGCCATCCGCAGACAGGGCAGGAACACCCATTGCTGCCTGAGCCTGCCTCTGCCCTCACCCTGACCTGGGCAGAGGGTCGGGCCAAGCCCGGCTTTCTGGCAGAGCCCCAGGGAGAGAGAAAAGCAAGCAGTTCTCTCCTTCCTGCAGACACGCAGCATCCCAGGAACAGGGCAGGATGCTCACCAGCCTGCCAGTGAGTGCCAAACCTGCCCAGACTGAACGAAGACGAGATCACCATTAAAAAACACCAGCAAGTGTGAAAGAGCTTTTGTTCTAGACAGACTTGAAAGATCCAATACTTTTTTTTCCTCCTACATTAAACCAAACCAAGGTGTTGTCTGTACCCCCTTCTTACCCTAATCCAAATTTAATTCCCTTTAAAGGGAAAGGGTGAAAAAGATCCATATCCTATATGTGGTCTGTCCAAACACAGAAAGAAACCTATTGACTTGAAGAGAGAAACTGTCGAAACAGAGTAAGCAGCTGTATAGCTTTGCCACACTGCCTAGCGCCCTCCCTATGCAGCCATCCTTAGCTAGCAGAGTGAAAAAAAAATATAAATCAAGGCCCTTTCATTCCTTGTTTCTCATTCTGCCAAATTCCCTTTTCCAGTAGCTCATCTGCATGCATTCTGGCCACAGACACCACAATTAATCCTTTTTTTTTCTCCTTTAAAAAAAAAGGCTTTACAATAACTACGAATTTGAACAACGACGTGATCAGTTATGAGTCTTTCCTTGCTGAATGGGACAAGTGTGTGCAGGCACACGTGTGTCAGAGGAGGGCACGTTCCCAGCCATGCCCGGGAGTGTGCCATTGCTCTGAGTGCACGGCCACCAAGTGCTACTACAGTACACCGGCAAAAGAGGAAAGGGCACTACACAGAAATAGCTTATCAGCTGAGAGTCTCCGTACAGGAAGGGCTGCAAGCACAGCCTGCTGCCGGCCCACGGCTGGGGTCTGCATAGATCCCCATTCGCAATTCAGCTGCCAGGAGAATCTGTAAGTGGGAGCTGAAAGGGACCAACATCTCTGCCACACACTGCAAGGAAAAGAGGCAGCTAAAGTGTCAAACAACTGCAGGAACAAAATCCAAAGAAGAGCAATTAAAAGATCAATCAGAAAACAGTTTGAAGCCTTGTCAGAAGAATTCACTTGCCACAGAGCAGGTAAGAACAGCTGCTGTGGCTAATGCAGCAGAAAACACCCATTCTACTTTTGAAGGCAGAGACAGTGGCTTCTCCCCAGCCCCAAAAGGAACCAGCTCAGGCATAGATCCCTGCTGACAGGGCAAGAAACGCCAACCAACACCAATTCCCTTACTGGCCCAGGCCAAGAGAGGCAACTGTTAATCACCACCACAACAGAGAGACCACTGCAGCCAACTGCATCCTGCTCTGGCCCAGGGGAGGGCATTCAGATAACCAGATTCTTTTCACAGTTCAAGAAGGGCAGTTCCCTTCCTGAGCCAAAAAAAAGAGGCTTTTTATTCCAAGCTCCAACAGTGACTATTTGCTGAATCAGTCCAGCGAACAGGGATTACGCTCCTGGAACAGCAAGTAGAAGCCTCCTCCAGGTAAAATCTGGAACCTCTAAAGTGCTCCTGCTAATGCTCATAGATGAACACTGCCCTTCCATGCCCAGCAGTGGAAGGGCATAATGCAGTTAGTGGTATAACAAGCACTAGCATTTAACCGTTTATCAACTCCCATCTGGATTGTGGTAGTTTTCTGAAATGCACTTTTGGGAGATCTTTCCTATGAGAAGACGATGTTTGGGGATTTGAGGGTAGGAAGGTGAAGTGCACACCATAGCATACCTTGTTCGGTAAAACCATTGCCTTGGAAGGTGATGTTCCCTTGCAGAGTCAGTGGAATAAAGCATCCTGCAAGTGGCCATTTCACCGTGTCACCAACAAGCAGCTCTCGGTTTGGTTAGAATGGTTTCCCCCTCCCCCAGTGGTTTGAAGAGTTCACAGTGGTATAACCCAACGTTTTGGGGAGAACGAAGCTGAGAAGTCCCCTGTTGCAAGTGAATGGGTGGAGTGAAGGATGCAGGTGAGCAACATCCTCTAGGACTAAGGATAAGCTCAACAGACACCTTGCGTCTGATCAGAAACAGGGGGAAGGCAGGCACTGGAAGAACCAGGAAGCGGAGAAGGGTAATGCCAACGCAGGGAAAGTGCATGATCTGGAGTGGTCTCGGAGTAGTTCTGCAGTGCAAATGTACGGGGAGGGGTGTGGAGAAATCCCTTCTGGAATGCTGCATGAAGAGAGGTAAAGGTTGGCATCCATGTGGCAGCGGACTGGGTAGGGGGCCTGTTTCCAGCAGCTCTACCCTGTTCTTCACATTTAGTGGGTTTCAATCACCACTGGCTCGTAAACTCCAGATGAGACCCTGGGGATGCAGAGGTGAAGAAGATGAGAAAGCCAGGTTATTTGCCTTAGTCACATGGACCAAGCAAGTTCTTATTCAGAGCTCTGCACTCACAAACATCGCCCTCTAACCCCACACAAAATACTGAAAATTACGAGTCAGTCTGGCGAGAAGTCAACCCGCATAACACAAACCAGACAGCTACGTGGCAAGTGAACACTAGAGCACTTAAAAGAGCTGGGTGTAACACATGAATCCTTCTAAAGGACGGAGGAAAGGGGGGAGTATCCTGCTCAAACAGCCAGTGTTCCTGGCTTTGCTTTGCTCCCAATTTTGTCACCAACCAGACACATCTTTGCATTACCATTATTGCCTTTTTTTTTTTTAACCTCAGAAGCTGCTATAGAGGCACAAACACAACTAGCCAAGACACTGTACTAAGAGCTATTGTGGCAAGAAAAAGCTTTATTTGTTCAGAAGTCTTTATGAGAGAACAAGCCCTCGACAAAGACAGAGGAAGCGGGAAAAGGGACAGTAAACCAGGCTGCTGCAATTTTGCTGCAGGCCAGCAGGAGGCAAAGCTCCCTGGCCTTCAGTGGGGAGCGGGAGCAAACAGGAACCAACCTCTACCATTTTGTCCTTTTGCTCCTTACTTCTGTTCTTGGATCTAACAACTAGGATCACATTATCCCTCTGAGCTCCTGCTGAGAACTACATTCATACTCCACTGCAGCTGTAGCCTGTCACCAGAGGGATCCCAGGGGTGTTAATGTGGGAATAAAGCCACCATGTAGCACAAGATGTTGAGAAATCTCTCCCGCAGCAAAAGGTGAAAGTTTCCTGGGTACAAAGAGCTAACTAATCTCTCCGGAGCGCCTGTGCTTGCCAGCCTTTCGGGAAGCCTACCTGTTTCCCAGCTGAATACCACTCAAGGTAGTTGTTCCGTCTCTGCTCACAAACAACCTCAGGTTACTGTCTGCAGATGGAAAAGGAAGTAAGACATCAAAATCCAGAACTACCGACGGCTGCCAGGTGCTCCCCTCCCAGACGCATTACACAATGGTCAGCACGGGAATGAGTGTGTTTCTGTGAATGCATGTGCATGCTTCCTGGTGTTCCCACAGTAATAGAGCCGCTGGGAACTCCTCCTCTTGCTCTGAAAGAGAGCCTCATCTACAAATCAACCACAGCATTAAGCTCTGGAAGAGTAAATGCAGAGAAATTAATTCAGTGATACTCCTCCAGCTGTTTCTTTTAAGGTAATTCCATTGATGCAAGTTCTTGGTCAGCTCAAACACATCTGAACAGAATAGATGTGGGGCCTCATGCTGCTTTTGTAGGCTCACTGGAGGAGAAACTCAGCCTGTTCTGCTGGTGAGAGGTGGTTACATTCAGTCTAGTTTTAACCCATGCTGAGCGAGGTGTAAATCCCCATATAATGTTGCCATATGCGATGATTTAAGGTGACTGACTATACAAGTTTTTTCCCCCTCTTATCCTGTACATCTGAGCTACTGTTCAACCTCTGCTGTAGTGTGTAAAACAGCAGCAAGTGCTTTTTGCTAATGGATGTGCAGCTCTCAAATCCACATGGTTTGTTTTCCTAGCATAGAAACACCTAGCAAGCACTGAAAGCAAATTCCTGTCAAAAGGGGAAGGAGTCCATGGCAGATCAGATTTGACTGTAAAAGCTTGGCAGCCTTGATAAAGGAACAGCCAAGACCTCCCCTTTGAGACTCTTCCTCTCACCTTCAGTATTGCTGACATCTGTGAAGTCCTGACTCTGCATTATTTTCTCCACTATATCATCAGCATCGATCCTGGTGTCATCCACTCGGGTTGGGTGACTCTCCACTGAATCCTTTTTCCTCCTGGGATGAGAAAATAAAGGGAAAACTTACTCAGCTTTTCAAGATGCAGATTTTCAGATACTCTCCTGCTTGCCTTGGCAATAGCCTCCTCGTCAGCGGCTACAATCCAATCTACCGCTGCACAAAGGCAAAGGAGTAGATTCTGTCTCTCCTTCCCAGAGAAGGCACTTTGCTCCTGAGTTACCTACCGGGAGGGTCTATCCAGCAGAAGGGCTGGTCTGGGGGGGCGAGGTGGCTTCTCTAGCTTGTGGTCCCGCTCTCCCTCAGGACATTCCACTGTCATACTCAGCCCTCCGGACGCACTGCTGCTGGTGGAGGTATTCCGGCGATGGGTCAAGTCGGACATACTAGAAGAACGGGAGTGCTCCGTGCTGTAACCTGCAAAACCAGAGTGATTACAAACCAGATCTTCTCCCCTTCCTGGCAGCACAGTTAACAGCCAGGGCAGCTTCAGACCAGCATTTCTGCTCCCAAATACAGAGGTTTAGACATACATCTATGAGCTCATCTGCAGAGACTAAACAGGAGACTCTGATATTAAAGAGCAGGGTGAGAGAGCTGCAAATCACTCTCACAAGAGCTCGTTGCAGGAAAGAAAAAGGGATGGGGCCAGTGCTGGCAGAGTTGTGTGGATCAACGGTTACCGGAGATCTTGGACTGCTGGCTGGCATAGCTGGAGTTCCGCGAGTGCCCCGAGTGGAAGACTTCCTCCGGGCTGGACAGGTTCTGATCTGGTTCTTCTGGGACACCTGCCAAGGAACAACAGGGCACTCCACTAACACCGTACCCAAGCCAGCACATTGCCTGCTGATCACCTGGGACTGGAGGCTGATCTTGAGACGTTAGATCAAGGAAAGAGCAAGGCTGTTGGCAGAGCCCTGCTGTTCAGGCTAGCACAGAGCTTAGAAAGCAGCTGGGGAGTAGGGGAGACAACAATGAGCTTCTCTGTCAAGCTCATCACTAATTCTAGCATTCAGTGCCTGCATTTACAAACATCTCTGGGGGCCTGAAGGATCTAAAGGGACCGGTAGTATCTGAAGCTATCCATAGTTAAAAGCATTAAGGTAAAACCAAGAAAGCATCAAATGCCCACTGGCAGTAAAGTATTACAACCTCCATTTGGATGCTTCTCCTATTACTTGTGAGAGAGCTCACACCATTTAAATCACATCTGAATTCGATACATAAACCTCAGCATAACCTCTGATCCTTTGCTATCCCCCCTGCTTGTCTGTCTTGCAGCAAGCTTATCCAAAAGTAAGCAAGTGTAACATGTTAGCCAGCTTTTTAAGAAGAGCACTTGCACACTGCGCTAAGTCACTGAGGCGATGGGACTGGAGTGTTATTTTGGTGCAGTGTATCTGCCTGCACATTTGGAGTGTGCTGGGAAGAAAAAAAGGCTATGGGAAAATGCAGCGCCCTTGAAAATGGGCTCATAGAGAAGCCAAAGAACTCTGCATCAGCAGCTGGAACAAGGCCATTAGACTTCAAACCAACCTCTAAAACCTTCAGGGGAACTTTTCTAGAAGATAAGTCTGAGCAACAGAATAGCTGAGTGGAGAACAATATTAAGTGTCATTGAACACAATGGAAAGCAGGGATGAGTGCAATACATGAATTATTAAATCCCCTGCAAAAAGAACAAATTGCTTTATCTCCACTAACAGAAACATGCGGAAAAGATTCATGCTTCTCCTCAGTTGCACTTAATAGATGGTTTTGTTCTTCTCAATTTTCTTAATGAGCAGAGGGGTGAAGACGGGTGCGGGAAAACATGAAAAATTAAAGAGTCTCTCTGCTTGCAACTGCTGGGAAAAACAAAAGAGTGTCCAGGCACAGCCAAGAGTTGCATGGCTCCAGGACGGGCAATTCATACCCGAGCTGAGAATGGCAGTTCTTGGCTTGGTCTGACGCAGAGATCCAATCGTGGCTGAACTGCTGCTGCTGCTGCTTGTGGTTCCCTCGCCCTTACAGGTCAGCTGCAGGGTCGAGTCCTGCCCCGGTATGGTGATGGATTTGGCGGTGGAAGGCGGCCTGTAATCAGAAGCGAAGAAGGTTACAAACTGCCAGTCCGGGACCAGGAATCACCCCACTGCACCGGCAGTTCCCACTCTGCCCTGTCAAGAGGGTCCCTCCGCCTGCACCCACCCTTCGTGGGGACGGGGGAAGGTGGCAGTCCTCTGCGACTAGCGACACAGCATGACATTGGATTTTGCTTTCCTACATGCAAGACTTGGGTCTTCCCTACCTTGTACTGCATCTGGACTCATTACAAGGAAAAGCAAGTTTCTGAGGTAAATTAAGGCAAAAAGGGGCCAATCAATCATTTCTACAGGACAACAGGCTCAGAGCCTGTGCTATCCTCCAGAAGACCACCCAGAGCTGCCCTTTTCCCCCAACTCGTGCCCAGCAACCAGTTGGCCTCATAAACAGGAGCCAGTTTGCTGTTGTCCAGCTCTAAACTCCAGCACCCCTTCGTTACACCTCTCTGGCTCAGGTCAAAAAGAAACCTTTTATCCCAGCAAACTCATCCCCCTATGAGAGTACTTTTACAACGATCAAATAACCTTTCCATTTTTTAATTGATGATTAAACTTTTTTTCAGTGAGACGAAAGTGTTTTTCCAGCTGTCAAAATTATTTTTCTGGTTATTCTGTGTGCTCCCAACATCCCTTTGTAAATGCTGACTGCGGGGCTGAGTGGCGAGTGCCTGGAGCCCCCTCCCTTCCTCCAGAAGTGTTTTTGGGAGGAAGTCACGGCATGTGCAGCGTGGCAAAATGAATATTCCTGTTGGAGCCCTAACTTCCCTGTAGGCCGAAGTCTGAACTGGAACTAATAGATCACATTATGCTTTTTAAGTGAGGAGTGAGAAAGAAAAACTTTTATTTGTCTCACTTGGGAGCTCTGAGGGAAGATGCTACCTTTGCAGTATTTTGGGAGGAAAAAATAAAGTGCCGAGAATATTTTATATAGGCAGCCAAACAGACATAAATGTTTCAGGAAATCCACAGCATGCCTTCCCCAGGAAAAAAAACAAACAAACCAACCACAACCCTCCCTAATCACGTTATCAGTGATTTACACGCCACCAGGTACTTTGGGGACTTTGGTTTGCAGGTTAATAAGGCCTTTACAGCCTTAATCAAGCAAACTGTTCCTGCAGCAGCTGTCGGAGCAGCCTGTGGGTCTGTCAGCTCAGGCAAACAGCCTGCTCTGCCCTCCTGCACGACACCCAGGAGAAGGTTCATCTGAGTGCTGCAGAAAGTCAGTGCTCGGAAGTCATTTCACTAATCCCCTAATGAGTGCCATTTCTCAAAAGCTCTACTGATCAAGGACTATTCTACATGCAAAGCTTCCATTTTTAGACATTTGCACATCATCAGCATATAAGGAGAAAATGGGAATGACTGCAAAAATCCTTTAAGAAAATTAGGAGGTTTGACTTTCAGACCGACCCTACTTATATTAAATGGATATATATATCCAATTCTGCACAATTTTCAGGCATTCTAACAGTGGGACTGGCTTTCACAGTGAAGGAGCAACAGGTATTTTTGTCAGACATATTATTGCCAGACATCCTAGTACTCTAGATTTAAAACATCTGTTACTGTTACAAAGTTATGGTTTAAGATATCCAAAACTTCTTTTATTACACTTCCCTCTGAAGCAGAAATTTTTCAGAATCAGATGACATTGCATTTAGGGTTTGAAAGTCTCAGAAAATGCTGCAGCACTATGAAAAACCATTCACAAAATAAACCAACCAAAAATTACGCAGCATTTTATAACAAGAATGCAACCTAATTCATACACTTTACGCTAGCTCTTAAAATTAGATCTTTTAGCCCAGAACACCACTACTACAAGAGATGGCCCCAAGGTAAAGCTTTCTTCTCTCATACTGTTGGGAGTCAACACAAAATATTTATATCAGCACGCGGCAGTACAGTCACACACCTTACGGCACGCTAAGGCAGGGTGGCTTCAATTGCAGAGTTTTGCAATGCTATACTGCAGTATGAAGGTATATGTTGCTGGTATATTTATTAGTTGATCTCCCAACAACTCTTTAAGCAACAAAACTGCTTCATCGCTTAACTGTACTTATGCTTTCCTATCATGATGCATTAAAAAAATAGTATGATTGCTCTTTCTCTGCTAATTAATACAAATTGTGAACCTTGGTCCCTGCAGAAGAAAAGGAGAACTAAAATATTTCAGCCTTGCAGTATTCTTGTTGCTGTTTCAATTCAAGATCTTTATCCTGTGTGATATGCGCTGAAGTGTGTCCCTTTCCAAGACTGTTTCCTTCATTGACCTTTCCTTTCTCACAGGTCAGTGAAACCAGCCCCGAAGAGATGTGAAATTCTATCCTTCAGGCAAAACATGAAGTTTGTTATCAACGTCCATTAGTTTCCAAAACCTAACTGACACCAGCAGCAAAAATACTGGCACAACTGATAACCAAGCTGGGAAAACCACAGCAGAGAACAAACCAGTCAACAGCGCAGGCTGGCTTAGCTATTGTGGCCAATTCAACAATCCAGACCACCAGTTTCAAGCTCTTCCCTTGTACCTTCCAGTATCAAGGGCATCTTTTCCCCTCCCCATCAATTTTAGTCTCCAGCAGAGAATGGCAAGAGAACTAGGTGTCCTGGTCTGCCCGGAACAGGGTGAGCACCTAGAAACTCACGTTTTGAAGCAGGGGTCCCCCGAGAGCAGGGACATTCCAATTGTGACCTGGAGAGGGGGGACAAGGCACATAGTTAGCCTCACTTCACAACAGCCAGGAGGTCAAGGGCTAGGTGTAAAGATTAGCAAGACCTAGTTCCTTTCCAAAGGAAATCAGCTTCAGGGATTTAGCAAGGTGTTTCCCTCCCTGCCCCAAATCACTGGCATGAGTAACTCCAAGTCACGGTGGCCCAGCAGGACACCAGCCTGGCCACCCTGATCATGCCCTTAGAACTTTTTTCCCCCCTCCTGTTCATGCTTTCTTTGATGACAAAGAATGCTATCAAGGGTCATCACTTGGCCAAATGGATGCCAAGATATCAAAGGGCAACTCTGATAACGGGAAACTTCCCAAGTCAGACTAGCAGCATAAAAGCTGCTAGTCCGTGTCCGTACATAACAGGACCTTGTCTCAGGCCTAGCACTGCACTCTGGCTGCGATCTTTCCAAAATTAACAGTAGGATTTCCACTGTAGCAGCACCAGCTGCTGTACCTTTAGGATGGAGTTGTCCTGTCGGGTGTTCTTAGTATCATATCCTTCCAGCAAGCAGCAACGGACAGTAGATCCAGAGCCCGCAAATTCTGCCAGATTTAGATCAGCAAAGCCCAGCTGTAGCCAAGGAAACAATAGAGGGGAAGGGGAGAGAACAAAAATCACTCAATAAAGGGATATGCAATGTCACACAGACAAAAGGAAGAGAGTGAGGGCAGAAACAGGAGCCGGTACACACACAGTCATGGCTACAAAGACGCCCTCCTCTTGAGCATGGGCAAAGTTACATTCCTAATCCCAAGCCAGGTGGACACATGGAGGCCTTCAGGAAGCCAGCCCCATGCGGAGGAAGGATGTACAGTAGTGGTGCTGGCCAGGACAGCGTTAACCAGCCCACAGCCATTGCATAACCAAGGACATGGAAGGCACTAGGTCAACGATGTGGAAAAAACAGAATCACACATACACAAACATAATAAGGCACTCTTTGTATCGGGCCATCCCAGAATGCAGTGGAGCATGTGAACCAGGAGATGAAAGGATATTGTTACAGAGGAAAAGTGACACTGTCCTGAAAAACAGCACTGAGACTTTTGGCAGAGCAAGCTGGAAGTCCAGAGCCATGCAGCAGTGCATGTGCCTCACCCCTACAGATGCAGCTTCTGGGCTGGGGAACTCCTAGAGCAAAGTGTCCTTAACACTGCGAAGACTTAACTAGCAAGTGGTATGTTTGACAGGCAGAAGGGAAGAGAATATTTGGAGGGATTTAGTTGTGAGCTCTCTAAACCTTCTCTAACAAAGGGGAAGCAAATAGGGAAGGTGACAGAAAGTTGAAGATCACAGGCAAATTCAAACAGGGTACTGATGCCTCTAAAGTAAAGACAAACACAATGAATGCTGACAGCCAGATGATACAGCTGAACTGGGAACCTCACACAGAAGCACCATCCTAAGGAAATGTGGTGCTCTCAACTGTGGAAGCTGATAGGGAGTTACAGCACAAACCACAGGCACTGCTGTACGAACCCTGGCTCCCACTGTTCCAAATCAAAAGTCTGAACCACAGCCTGCACAAGATATATGATTCAGGGGAAGACAGCAGCAAGATTAGCATAGCTACTTCCTCCATCCCATTCTCAACAGGGAACAAGAGCTGATGGCAAAGGAAAAAAAGCATGGGATAGAGCAGGAACCTTTCTTCAGCAAAAAAGGAAGGAAAAAAATAACCTAACTTTTCTCCCTCTTTTCTCCCTTCTTAAGAATTCCCTTAAGTGTTCCTCCAGCCCTTGCTGTAGATATTCTTCTGTCTCTTCTAGCCAAGGGCTATGCTGCTTGCTGAATATTCACTGATAAGGAAAAAAAACGGTGAATTTTTATCTCTCAGAGATAAACAAGGCAGGAGAAAGCCACAGTGGGGGCTCCAATCCACCATTGTGACAAAACTGTAGGACAGAGGAGACATGGCACAATCACCCCAGCAGAACGACGTGGCACAGGAGTGGCCCAGACCCAGATGCCTCTTCCTCCACCACAGCACTGACTTCTCTGAGAAGATTGACATGGGAGGACAGAGTGTGGGAGAACCCTCCAGCAACCCATACAGCGTGCTGAGGTCAGAAGCTCTTCTCAGGAAGCAGACTCCCAGTATATAGAGGAAGGATCCCTTAACAAAAGGGTGTTTTCAGATGTAACCTTTCAGAATAGTTTCCTCAGTTTTCCAGCCAA